ACAATATATATATATATATATATATATATACATATATATATTTACATATAGGGAGAGAGTTACCTAATAGTGAGAATTGAAAAAAAAATCCAAATTCATTTTCTTTCAAAAGGCTTCCCAAATCGGAAAACTCGCATTTACGGCTTCTTATCACGCCATATGCCGACAGAATGTGTGTGTCTAGAATATACTCTTTTGAGAATCAGCATGAAATGTGTCCCAACACTTCCTTGGAAGCTGTAGCCAGCTGCGTACTTCGATAGCTACTCACCATTTCTTGATTTGAAGGCGTTTGTGGATTCCCTACCCATTGATTCCTTGGGGATGCCCGACTTCAGAAGAGAGGAGGTATTTTCTAGAGTTATTCTACCTTTTCTAGCGAAGGTAGTCGATGAGATTTATGTTATGACTGGAGTTGTAATGGAATCGACTTGAAGACTCATAAATCGAGAGGTTGGTGAAATGGTTTTTCTTTTGCTTCGATAGAGTTTTTACATTCTGAAGATATTGGCTATCTGAATGTTTATTTCTTTCTTTGCTTAAAAAAATTTATTTATTTTTAAATTTAATTTACGTTATTAAATAAAGCTCGTTTCATTGTGATAAACATTTTGATAACATTGTTGAGACCCTTCGCTTGTGAATTTGGATGCACCTAAGTAAGAGACATTTTAGTAAAATCAACATCTTTATTTGACTTTCAAATTACTAGTAAAAGATTGTTTAATCGAAGGGAGTGGTCAAAATAATTTCTAACTTAAATTTTAACTCCTTGCGTATAATATAACTACTAGTGGATACATGCTATGCATAGGATAAAATCCCATCGTAACCTCATGTAGATACATGCATTATTTAGGTATAAACTTGTGATACAGCCTTTCATTGGTGACCGTATATTTGATTGTCAGCGTGAGCTAGAGGTGTAGGATTTGTAAAAGGAATAGAAATTTTAAATTCTTAATATGACTTTATTAAGAATATAACTTAAATGTCTAACAATTTAGATAAATTTAAATAACGAGAATCTAGAATGAGAAAAAACACACACAATGATAGTTAAACCGAATCACGTAACTCAGACCACTTTCTCTAAATAATTATTCAATGCGCCTACACTCACTTCTAATAATATTATAAGTCCTAATATCAAATAATAAGTCCTACCTTAATCCAACCAAGATCCGATTTCTATATGGAGACGTCTGGGTGCGCGTGTAATGGTATGCACCTTGTATTACTGGTTTACTTTCCAGGTAACTTCACGAGTGGCTGTCAATTCACGCTTGTATCTCTTCAAACATAGCTTTCCCCAAATTGCCCTCCTGCTTACTGAAACTTCTGTTCTCTTAAAAGCTATCTTATTTGCATTTCTTGTTCACATTTCGCTTCTTGGGTTTTGGTTGGAAAAGAGTTGCCATGAATCTTGGCCACCAAAGAACCCAGAGGTTATGTTAAAGAAAAGACGAGTGAGCCAGTCACAAACTCTCCACCGAGATAAAATGAATTTGACTTGGCGAAACCCTCCTGCTCACCACTGGTACGCAGCTAAGGTTCCTGGCCTATCTCTACAGTGCAAGAGTTCTAGGGCTCTTCAGACGGCCTTGGCGCGCCTTAGAAGTGGTCACCTACGTAGTATGACTTTTGTGCAGGGAGTAAAGTCTTTCTTTACCTGTCCCTGCTTCTACTTCTCATCTTCTGGAATTCTGGGGCATTTCCCTGGGACAGTTGTTTGAAGATAAAGACCTGGTGTGTGACATTATTATGCAGAAAGGTCAAATGAACTTGGTGTAGGCTTTCCTGCTCCAAGGGGGATTTGAAACAACAACAACAGGTGTACAATTAGTGTTACCAGCACTGGAAACATTATAAGGTAGATTTTTTTTGCTGTGATTGTATAAAATTACAAAAGTTAAATAACAAATTGTCAGGGCTACAAAATTTTGAAAAAATAGGAAAACTAGAATTAAAATTACAAATCTCTTAGTAAAATTATTCGCAATTTTTCTTGGAACAAAAAACGCTTTTCCACATGCTTTACATAAGTGTATTGTCATTTTTATTTTCATTTCTTCAACTTCTTAATCACAAATAAATAAATCCATATCGGAGTCACTGTCGTATTCCTCTGTTTCCATCAAATATTCTCATTCAGTATTACTTTCATTGAAATCTAACAAATATACCGTATTGGCAAAATAAATAAATAAATAAATAAAATAAAAACAAAATAAATAAATAAAATAAAATAAAAAAATAAACAACAAATGTAGTTGTACAAACATTAAAAAGCGAAACGAAATAATAGCCAATAATAAAAAACTAACGCCATAGCCAATGTCAAAAGGAAAAATGAAACGTGCGTCAAAACGTCTCAAGCTCATTATGCCCAGAAATGTGAGATTTCCGAGCATGCTATAGAGGGCAATCTGGTGCACATGGGGTTTATATAATTTTTAAAGTACTAAACTGTGATTATTAATTCTGTAACACTGACGATCTTTGTCTGTAGAGAGCTTGGATCTTCTTTCTGGAACTTCGTTGTCTTCAATTATTACCCCCACCCCCTCCAACTTCAATATCAGCCTAGTGACTCCCCCATTGACTTCTTTTGACTTTAAATAGCAACCCACATTTAAATACATCACGGTTCTTCAACGGAAAGCAATTTTATAATCATACAACATTAAAAAGAATTTCTCTAGAGGGTTAATGCAAGATGCAGGTAGGACCCGATACAACATAGTAATGAAAAATTGATGTGAAAATGTAATGTGTGAAGAATAATTAATGCTCAAAATTGCTAGTTTCAATGGATGGTTGATTTTTATTATTTTGCTTACGTTTGTTCAACCAAGCACTATAATCCTTTTCAGCTATTTTTCTTCCGTTTGGACGAGTGGTGTATTAAAATTTTGATTTTGATCACAGTTTAAAGGATTTTGTAGTTTCTGATGTATAAGAGGGTGGAAAGAGAGTTGTAATGAATATACTTTAAGGTATCCGTCTACGTTCGGAACCATGATTTTAAAAAAGCGCATAAATGGAACATTTTCATATTTAGTGTCACTTATATTAGAATACATGTATGAAATTGTTTTAAGGACATTATGACAAAAAAAATTATTTAAATACAATATTTTGGCAAAAAATTATTTTAGAATAACCTTTTTTCCAAATGTTCT